CTTAGGTAGCACTAAGTATAGGTTCTGGTCTATGGGGGAGCCGAGCACGGTTAGCGGGTTTCACCCTTCTTCAGTTTCTATCAGGAAGTGCATCACTCATAATTCCGCCTACGGATGTATCTTCTCGGATGAAAGTTGTAGTGTGTGTAGTCAAAATGCAAGGTTATTCATTTAATACTCCATCTGGTTCCCCCATTGGAGTTGCTCTTATATCCTAGAGGTGCAAAAATGCACCCAAAAAAAACAAGTATCAAATATTCCTCAAATTAGGAACTGCAATTTCAACGTAAAAAAAATAAATTTTCTAACAAATTCCTATGGAATATGGACCAAATAAATCTATTAATTTATGTTTAATACATATTTAAAAATAAAATAATTTATTTGATTCCTACGGGTTGGAGTATATAATTTTTTTCGAAGTACCAAAGTATTATTTCAAGCATCAATTAAGGGTTTAGATGCCTCATTTTAATACCTACTCTAATGGTAAAGTATCAAAATCGATCATCAAATATTAATTTGATACTCGTTTTATTATTTTGATACTTTTTTCCTCCAACCGCAAGCATTAAATGAATCATCTAATTTTAAATATAAGCATAAATATATGTAATATTGACACGTGTCAATTTTTAATTGGTTTGTTGGGTAGTTAATGTTTTGATACCTCTTTTTCCCGGATGCATTTTTGCATCTCGGGAAGTTGAATATCAAAATAACTACCAATTTAATTCCCCCATTGGAGATGAAAATTTATGTTTTGGAGCATCAAAATAGAAGTTATTCCATTTAATTCCCCATTTAATTCCTCCATTGGAGTTGCTCATTTTTCCAACCTATTTTTTATAATTGGTAATTATATTTATTGCAAAAACTTTTTGAAATCAATTTTTGTATGCTTGTAAAATTAGTAGATAAAACATAAAACAAAAATTAGACAATTAGTAGATAAGATGCCATCAAAAAATGAAATAATAATAATAAGAAGAAGAAGAAAAGAAATATCAACTATATGTGGATTAGAAATACTCTCGGTTTAATAAATATAATTCCAACAAATAAGATATTTTTCCAACATATTTTTTATAATTAGTAATTATATTTATTGCAAAAACTTTTTGAAATCAATTTTTGTATGCTTGTAAAATTAGTAGATAAAACATAAAACAAAAATTAGATAATTAGTAGATAAGATGCCATCAAAAAATGGAATCATAATAAGAAGAAGGTTCATGTTGAAAAAAAACAATGGAATTCAATTTCAATGTCAAGAGTGGGATTTGAACCCACGCCCTTTCGGACCAGTACCTGAAACTGGCGCCTTAGACCGCTCGGCCATCTTGACTTCGGTGAACAAAATTGCTAATTTAATTATAAATATAACTGTACAACCTATTAGGGAGGTGATATTCGCGGTAGCATTTTTACACATACGAGTTTAAAATAATTCACTCTCTACCTTTCTTTCTCTCTCTAGAAATAAATTTTCTATATTAGAAATCGTCCCGAACCCATCTTATTGTAGCGATTAAAAAAAAAATGAGTGCATTGGATGAGGATCGTGATACACAACCCAATGAGGTAAAATTTGTTCGTTTTTGTTCTATAAATTGGTTAAACGTAGCTAGGGGTGGAAATCGGAACGAAATTTCCGATTTCCGCCGGTTCCGATCCGAATATTTCCGATTTTGGAACCATTTTTTATGATCCGATTTCCGAAATTCCGATTTCCGATTTTTCCGAAAAAAATCGGATCGGAATCGGAATTGTATATAAAATATTCGGAATTTCCGAATTCCAATCCAAAAATAATTCCGAAATTTCCGAAAATTTCCGAATAATTCCGAAATTTCCGAAAGTATTTCCGAATAATTCCGAAAATTACTACTATTTATTAATTATTATAAAGTTACATTTTTATTATAAAAGAAATATGCCACATCTTCTTAGGCCCACTTTAGCAAAAGCCCAAACGCAATATTTCCAAGTAACGTGAATCTAAACCCTTCTAAGTCATTTCTCATTCTCTCTTGTCTTGCATCAGCCGCTCTCCATGGAATCTATCATTTCTTCCACCAACATCCATTCTTTTCTCTGTGGAATCTCCTTTTTCTTCCACCAGCGCCGCCCATTGTTCTTATCGTCGAGCACCGAGCACCACATGAGCCGCCTCTCTTTCTCTTCGTGTAGCACGGCCAGCGCTGCCCCTCGTTTTCTCCGCGCAGCATAGCCAGTGCCGCTCCTCGTTCTCTCCGCCGAGCACCACCTACACCGCCCCTCATTCGCTCGGGCAGACCAGCACCTCAGCCCAGTCGCAGCCCCTCATTCTATCCTTGCACGACGCCGAAAAATCAAAAAATGAATGATTCCGAAATATTCCGATTTTCCGAAATTTCCGAAAAAATTGGAATCGGAATCGGTTTTTGAATTCCGAAAAAATCGGAATCGGAATCGGAATTAATATTGTTGTTCCGAAAAAAATCGGAAATTTTCCGAAAGGACAATATCCGATCCGATCCGTCCGATCTCCACCCCTAAACGTAGCTCACGACCAATATGGACACCGAAAAATAATTTTCACACCCAATTCACGCTCAAATCGGGTGCAAAAATGAGTTTTCCGAGCCAGGTTTGGGAGGCTTAATCTCATTTTCGCGCCGGTTTGGGCTCCCAAAAAAAAAAAAAATTACATTTATTCGCTATTACCCGAACTGCGAATTAAACTCGGGTATCTTGACCAACTAGACTAACACGAATTTCATACTCTAACACTTATTTAATTATTCTCATTTGTTGCATTTATCCTGGGCAAACAATATTGCATTTATCCTGGGCAAAAAATAATTTATCATCCCGTTGTTGGGGCTTAACCCCGGGTCGCTCAGGCGAGAACTGGGTAACCTAACCAACTAGACAACAACACATTTAATGATTTACATCTTTCTTTTATTTTATTATTTACGTACAACTTAATAAAAAATTAAAAATAAACCGGACGACCGATCTAGCCGCTGGTCAGGGATTTGCACGCCTGGAACGGGCGTGAAAACTATTTTCACACTCCCGTTTTGGGCGTGGAAATGACACACACCAGCAACAAAAACAACCCAAAAATGTAATTTTTTGGGGTTTTCACATATTTAACCACAAAGTAAACACAAATTACACACATATAACTAAATTAGATAAGAAATTACCTATCAATTTGATAGATTTTCGAATTTGGGAGGATTATTGAGGGTTTTGTTCATTTTGGGGCTTTTGCGGGGTTTGGGTGGGTTGGGTGTTTGTAGAGAGAAAGGTAAAAACACAATGAACGGTATTCGTAATTTTAGTACCGCATAAATCATTTTAGAACTTATTATTATGTTCATATTGAAAAAAAAAACAATACAATTCATTTTATTTAACCAAAAAATGGAAAAAATGGAGAAAGAAAAAGAAAAAAAACAAAAATGTCAAGAATTTTAGTACCGCGTAAATCATTTCAGAACTTATTATTAGCTTCATATTGGAAAAAAAAAACTACAATTCATTGCATTTAACCAATAAATGGAAAAAATGGGAAAAAAAATGAAAAAAGAACTTATTATTAGGTTCATATTGAAAAAAAACAATACAATTCATTTTATTTAACCAAAAAATGGAAAAAATGGAGAAAGAAAAAGAAAAAAACAAAAATGTCAAGAATTTTAGTGCCGCGTAAATCATTTCAGAACTTATTATTAGCTTCATATTGGAAAAAAAAAAAAAAAAAAAACTAAATTCATTTTATTTAACCAAAAAATGGAAAAAATGGGGAAAAAAATGAAAAAAGAACTTATTATTAGGTTCATATTGAATAAAAAACAATACAATTCATTTTATTTAACCAAAAAATGGAAAAAATGGAGAAAGAAAAAGAAAAAAACAAAAATGTCAAGAATTTTAGTACCGCGTAAATCATTTCAGAACTTATTATTAGCTTCATATTGAAAAAAAAAAAACAATACAATTCATTTTATTTAACCAAAAAATGGAAAAATGGGAAAAAAAATGAAAAAAACAAAAATGTCAAGAGTGGGATTTGAACCCACGCCCTTTCGGACCAGTACCTGAAACTGGCGCCTTAGACCGCTCGGCCATCTTGACTTTCATGGACCAAATTGGTATTAGAATATATTTAACGAGCAATATATACATACCACTTTTGTGAGAAGATTTTCTTTATTTTTTTATTATTTTTGAAAGAGAGAAGATTTTTTATTTACAAGTTACCAGTTTTTGTAAGGTTATTGATATAACAGTTACAATATTTCATTAGTTTCGAACAGCCCATAATTGTTTTCATAATCAGTGGCGAATCGAGGATTATATTTAATTATGTTCAAAATTGAATATATATAAATAATACTTAATACAAATGGTGGACTATATATTTAAAGGGGTTGTCCTCAAATTCAGGGCAGCGCCTCCAATTTTTTTTGTTAATTATAAACACATAAAACAATACAATTATGTTAGAAAAATCAAATTTAAAAAGATGTTTCTAAATTTTGGGAAAATTTTCGAAAGATTGGAAGAGAAAATTGGTGAAAATATTAAAAAATGTAAATGAATTTAGGTTGAACTTTGAAAAGAAAATTGATGAATATTAAAGAAGAGGTAAATGAATGAGGTTTTTTATAGCAAAAAAACGTTTGCGGGTCAGTCTCTATACGTGTTTTTTTTTTTTAATCTGCACTCCCTACTTCACTCCCTACTTCACTCCCTACTTTTATAATTCGTATATAGTCCACTCCCACCTGAAATGTCTGGAATGCCCCTTTGTAATTGATTATTTATTTATTTTTTCTTCTACATTTCATACAATCAAACTTTCAACCTCTGGTCACCATCGTCTTCGCCGACCCATTGTTCTTTCTGCCTCTAGTCGCCGTCGTCTTCGTCGGCCAGCCCATTTTTATTTATGCCACTGTTTTTCGTCGTCTTCTCTTTATTTGAGCTCTGCCCGTCCCAGTCCCCAGTTCTCTGTTATCTACGGACGATGAAAGCAAAGGGTGACGGCCAACAACCCCACGTCGAAATGCTATCAAGTTATTGATCCAATGAACAACTTCATATCAACTGCAACTATTGTGAAGGAAAATTTAAGATATACGCCAGCATACATACCCCATTGAAATATCGAGTGATATCCAAAAAGAGTGGGTTCAACAACATTTAGATGTAATATATTAAATATGTACCCACGGAAGATAATATTTTTAAAATTTACAGCATTGCATTTTTTAAAAGATTTTAAAAGATATTTTAAATAATATAATTTAATTATTCCTTTTAGTTATTCCTTTCACTAAAAATTTCGGTAGTGTCGTATTCTAACGAATCTTTCGATAATTGGTAAGAAACTATTTCTTTATTAAATTAGAAGACAAGAACAAAACACAAAAAAATGAAGAAAAATAATAAAGTTGATTATCATAAGTGTCTTTCATGTAGATAGATAACATCTAATTGTTGTTGGATCGATGAATCGAATATATTCATATCGACAAATTATAAGAATTCAGTACATAACTTGTAGTAATCTTAAGTATTTAAATTTAGTTTAGCTAATTAATTTCTTAAAATATATTTTCATTCATTATTATACAAATATATGTTACTTTTTAATTATTTTATTTGTTACTTTTTAATTTTATATGATCCAATAATAATTAGATTGTTATGTTTATTGTATTTAAAATAATAAAATAATTAATGTTGATGAGGTAACTGTTACAAATAATACTTTAATGGGTAAGTGGTACATAAGGCAATACTTCACGGGAGAAAATTGTATTTAATCCTATATTAAAATTATGGCAAATTCTACTTTCCCCGTTGTACTTTGGTTTGGAATCCATTTACCCCTTCTACTCTCGATTGCATCGATTTGCCCCCTGCACTTGAAAAATTGTCTCAATGTGGCCGTCGTTGTTAGTTGTCAAACATTTGGCCTTAACAGTGTTTGGTCTAAACTCTAAAATTACAAAAATGACACCGTCCCAGTTTAAATAATTATTAGAAAAACAAAATAAAAAAGAAACAAAAGAAAAATTAAAAAAATTCAAAATAACAAGAAAGCATAGTCCACCACGACAACCAAAATTTATTTTTATTTTTCTAAACTTTTGTTATAATTATTTAAACTGGGAGGAGTGGCATTTTTGTAATTTTTAGACCTTAGACCAAACGGTATTAAGGTCAAATGACCACATTGAGACAATTTTCCAAGTGCAGGGCAAATTGATGCAATCGAGACTAGAATGCGGTAAAGTGATATCGAACGGGCGAAAATGGAATTTCCCAATACGGATGAAATGAATTCAAAGAGCGTAGAGAAATAACTTGGGCAAGAAAGTTTGCAATCTTTTGATGAACAGCGCAGAGCAGTTCTGCGTCTCACTCTTGAACAACTGCAGAACACTCAGATCCCTCCAACATTTCCATGCCCGCGCCGCCGTAACCGGCCTCGATTCCGACCCCCTTGTCGCCGGAAAGCTTCTCCTCCACTCCGCCGTTCACCTCTCCGGCGCCCTCGACTACGCTCGCCGCCTCCTTCTTCATAACCCATGTCCCGACACCTTCATGTACAACACCCTCATTCGCGGCTTCTCCGATTCCGCATCCCCCCAGAATTCAGTATCCACATTCTCACTCATGCTCCAGAATTTGGATTCCCCTGTCGACAGCTTCTCTCTGGCCTTCACGCTGAAATCCGCCGCCAACATGCGGTGTTTGCGCACCGGGACCCAGCTCCATTCCCAGGCTCTGACGCGTGGGCTTCATACCCACCTCTTTGTTGGCACCACATTGATCAGTATGTACGCGGAGTGCGGCTGTGTTGAGTTTGCCCAGAACATGTTCGACGAAATTCCCGAACCAAACATCGTCACGTGGAACGCCCTGGTGACGGCGTTCTTTAGGTGCGTCGATGTAAAAGGCGCGGAGCGAGTCTTCAATCTGATGCCCGCCAAGAACTTGGCGTCTTACAATCTAATGCTCGCCGGGTATACAAAGCTAGGTGAGTTCGAATTCGCTAGGAAGGTGTTCGACAAAATGCCAATAAGAGATGAAATATCTTGGAGCACAATGATTGTCGGGTTTGCACAGCACGGGTGTTTCAACGAGGCATTTGAGTACTTTCGGGAGTTACATAAATTAGGGATAACACCGAACGAGGTGAGCTTGACAGGGGCTCTATCAGCTTGTGCGCAAGCTGGTGCACTAGAGTTTGCCAAGATACTACACGGTTATATCGAAAAAGTAGGGTTCGTTTGGATGATCCCAGTAAATAACGCACTAACAGATACTTATTCCAAGTGCGGGAGCATAGATATGGCTCTTCTGGTATTTCAGAGAATGCCGGGTGAAAAGAGCATCGTTTCTTGGACTTCCATAATCGCAGGCCTAGCAATTCAAGGCTATGGCGAAGAGGCACTATCTCTTTTCCACGAGATGGAATATTCCGGAATCAAACCGGACGGGATTTTGTTCGTCACAATCCTCTATGCATGCAGCCACTCGGGTTTGGTCGAAAAGGGTGACGAAATTTTCGACAGAATGACCAAAATTTACGGGATTACCCCTGAAATCGAACACTATGGATGCATGGTTGACTTGTACGGCCGGGCGGGACAGCTGGCGAAGGCGTACGATTTCGTGTCCAAAATGACGATTTCGCCCAACGCGGTTATCTGGCGGACACTCCTCGGAGCTTGCAGCTTTCATGGCGACCTGCAACTGGCGGAGCGAGTCAAGAGAAAGCTATCCGAGTTGGACCCGAAAAACTCGGGGGACCACGTTTTGCTGTCGAATATTTACGCCTTTGCCGGAAAATGGAAGGATGTTGCCACTGTGAGAAGATCAATGGCCGAGCTTAAGTTGGTCAAGACTCCCGGTTGGAGCATGATTGAAGTTGACAAGGTGATGCATACCTTTGTGGCGGGTTTTAAGGAAGACGATGCTGTAATAAAGGAGGCTTACGAGAAACTGAAGGAGGTCATGCTGAGAATTAGGGTTGAAGGAGGGTATGTTCCGGAAGTTGTTAATGTTCTGCACGATATCGAAGAGGAAGAGAAGGAAGGTTCTGTGATGGTGCACAGTGAGAAGCTGGCTGTTGCTTTCGGGATGGGGAGGTTGACCAAGGGTAAAATCGTCCGAGTTGTGAAGAATTTGAGGGTTTGCAAAGATTGTCATAATGTAATGAAACTGATATCCGAGGTTTACGGATTGGAGATTCTGCTGAGAGATAGGAGCAGATTCCACTCATTCAAGAATGGGAGTTGCTCCTGTAAAGATTATTGGTGAATAAGTAAATTTATATAAACACTAATCAAATATTATATAAGGGTAAAATCGTCATTTATTGAATCTATGTTTGATTTTTGACAACAAAAACAGACCATTTAGCAAGATCCTTCTGTTATAATTATATTCACTTTGTCAGCTAATTAGAGACAAAACTTTTTCCCGCCACTTTCGAACCTTTCTCGACAACCATAAACTCTCGACGAGAAACCACGTCGCCCCATCTCCCAGCTTCGGCATACACATTCGACGAAATCACGAAATCTTCACTCTCATTAGAACCTGCTAGTTCTTTCAGCCCACCAACAAACCTCAACCCTAAACCGATCTCCCCGTTAACCCTACAACCGTTGACCAACATCCTCCAAAAACGCGCACTAGCTTCCATCGGCATATTCCCTATAAATACCCGAGCATCTTCGATTCTCCCGGCTCTAGCAAACATGTCCACCATGCACCCACAATGCTCAATCTCCGGTTCGATATTGTACACATCGCACATCATTTCGTACAATCTCCTCCCTTCGTCGACAAGACCGGAATGGCTGCACGCCGACAGAACTCCGATGAACGTGACGGAATTAGGAACGAAATTCTTGTCGCGCATTTGTTTGAAAATAGCGACGGATTTTTCTCCTTCCCCGTTTAGTGCGTACGCCACTACCATCGAAGTCCAAGAAACAACGTCTTTCTTACGCATACCATCGAAAACACCTCTAGCTTTCGCGGTGGTCCCGCATTTTGCGTACATATCAATAAGAGCATTTCCCAAAACTGTACTTCGTTTGAAAAACTCGTCATTCTCCACCATAGAATGTACAAGAATACCTTTATTTAATTCCCCTATATCACGACAAGCCGTAATTAATCCCAAGAGGGTTACTTCATCGGGGTCTAATTCTCCGGGCTTGATTTGATCGAATAGCTTTAAACCCTCGTTAGCAAGCCCGTTATTGACATACGCGTGTATCATAGTGTTCCAATATTCAATATTTGTCTTCGGTATTTCATCGAAAAATTTCCTCGCCAACTCGATTTTTCTGCAATTTGCATACATGTTAATCAAAGCAGTCCCTACAGAAACATCGAACTCAAGCCCATTCGATTTTACACGAGCATGTATCATCGCACCCAAACGAAGGTCTCTGCAAGAAGACAACAAGCAACTAAAAGACACTCTATCGGGACCCACACCCTCGATCCTCATTCGTCCGAACAACGAAAACGCACTCTCGAAATCGCCACTACTAGCATACCCCCACATCAAAGAATTCCAAGAAACCAAATCCTTTTGCACCGCCACGTCACTAAATACACTTTCCGCATCGGATATACGTCCGAATTTCGCGTACATATCAATAAGCGCGTTGCGTATTTCGATATTATTTCCCAACCCCATTTTAAAACAGCAGCAACGAAGCGCATTCCCATCTCTATACCCGCCGAATTTGGCGCAACCGGATACTAAAATCACGAAAGTAACATAATCGGGCCTCACATTCGACCCGAAACAACCGGCCAACATTCGAACAAACAAACTCAGACCCACATCAAATTTACCCCTATCAACATTCCCAGATATCATACAGTTAACACTAACAACACTCTTCTCCAAAACAGCATCAAACATGACGTCAGCATAACCAATCAAATTCGCCGAACCCATGTAGAAACTAACGAGGCCGTTCGAAACATTCACATTGGAATCCAATCCGAGCCGAATAACACGGGAGTGCACCGACTTACCTTCGAGAAAAGCATGGGATTTATTACAAGCCTTAATCAGAGAAGCGTAAACGAAAGGGTCGTCTCCGGCGGCGGCCCGCATTTCCCGGAACAAAGACAGCGCCTTTAAAGGGGCGGCGGCCGACGCGTGCCGGATCATGAGGCTCCATTTGTTGGGGTCTTGGACTTGGGGGAGAAGTTTGGCTGCGTGGGAGAGTGTTAATGGGTTAGAGAGAGAAAGTTTGTAGAGAGAGAAGAGAGTTGGTGGGTGGTGAGATTGGAGGCCCGTGGTTATGAGGAGAGAGTGGATTTGGAAGAGGGGATTTGGGGATAGGGTTTGTTGGAGAAGGAATTGGGTTAATCGAATTTGAAGAGGGCTATTCATGAAAGTGTTTATTTTGGGTGGTTTTGTTTTCGCCGGAGGAATACAACCTACGGCGGCGGAACCCGCAAGATTAAAAATTTGGATTTTGATTAATATTTTGTTTATTTGGAGTTTTGACCCCCATTGTTTTGTAAATATAGGTTTTGACCCCTTCATTTTTTTTAAATAAGCAGGTCTAGGCTGTTAAAAAAAATCTTAAAGCAGCTTATGTTAAGAGAATTAAAAGGCAAAAGCTGATTTTACAAAAACATAAAAACAGATTATGTGAAAAAAAACACATTTGAAAAGTTTTTGCAAACACCACCTAAATGAAAAAGTTACTTATACAATTAATCTTAAGTTAAACAATAATTAACTTACTTTATTGTTTCTACATGAAACTTCAGTAACATTCTTCATTTTATATACATATAGTGTATATATGTGTGTATATATATATATATATATATATATATATATATATATATATATATATATATATATAATGACAAAGATACAGAAGACTAACAAGCAAATTTCGTGCTGGTGTAGTTATTAGACTTTGGCAAAACTGAGTGAGCCATTTGCTGTACCTTAGAGTCCTCGCTTCCACTGGCAATAAAATCTTCATCCCGTCCAACAAAACAAGCCCTCAAAACGTAACTTTTACGTATATGCCACTCGTAAGTCATCACCATATACGGAACTTGGTCTTTTATGTTCCACAGATCAATTTGTTCGTACGACATGCTAACCAGCAAAAACCTACCGTCTTTCGACAGTGTGAACGAAATTATATGTTCGAACTCGTCGATGTATCTGCGGGCCTCAGTTCTCCATTTGAACAAGAGTATCCTATTGTATCTGTAAGTGGATATGAGCTCCTCTCCATCAGGACTGATCGCCAGGTCAGCAATCCTCGTGGTGTACCCCCCTTGCCAAGAAAGGACCTCTTCTCCTTGGAGATTCCACATGCTAATACTGCCGTCGTTAAAACCGGTGAATATATGCTTCCCGTCTGGGGCCCACACGCACGAGACTGTACCTAGATTCTGTTTTCCGTATGTGCGGAGAAGAACATACTCTATCTCGACGAAGGGAGCTATGTTCCATCGCTTTACGCTCTCCTCTACACCGCAGCTCAGAAGTTGAAGATAGTTGCGTTTCCATGTAATATACGAGACGGGTTGCGTGTGACCCACTAATTTACAATGGAGTAAACACTCACCAGAATCCAGAAACTACCGTAAAAAAAAAAAGGGTTACCTTTTTTTACTCAATCTTAAATAACATATATATAACAGATAAGTTTGAGACGAGAAGCAGCATTACCTTCCATATACCCACCACAGTACCCCCCGCGGCGGCCAAATACTTCCCATTGTGAGAAAATTGCATAAACCACACTTCATCGTCGGGACACTTTAATTTCTGTAATAGTACTTTACGAAAAAAAGAAGGAGAGAGAGAGAGAGAGAGAGAGAGAGAGAGAGAGAGAGAGAGAGAGAGAGAGAGAGAGAGAGAGAGAGAGATCAATACATGAGTGATGAGATAATTATAGCTTTATACGGAAAAGGACATAATACATGTATATAAAATCACCTTTATGGGTTTAAAACGAGGCTCGTCTTTTCCATGTTGATGATTTGGCTTCAACGATTTTTTTGGGGGAAGCAAATTTCGCAGATCCTCTAATAATCTCTTACGAGACCTGATTCCCAATTCTTGACCGCATAAATTCTGCGGTGGAGATACAACCAATGTAGAGAGCTTACGAACTATTTCTTCGCTGATACCAAGTGGAGCGATCTCGTGCCTGAGAGTCTTCGAAGCTTCTACGAATTTCCCTCGAGATAATAGTTCGTAAAATTTGTGCTCCAATATAAGCAAGGATGTATCGTCAACAGAGTTACTACTATCATCACCATCATTTATTTCAGTTGATTTCTCTAGACTCTTCTCTGACCTGTCATAGCCGAGCGAGGAAAACACGGTTATATCTCGAATGAGTTTATTTTTTTTAAGACCCCCCGTCGAACGAACAATTTCATCATCACCCCCTTGAGATGATGTAGAGGGCAAATCCATGGATGAACTGAATCTTGTACAATCCACAAACACCTGCCCACGAAAAGTAGCCTTCGATTAACGGGCTGAATCTTATCTTCGAGGAATTACGATACAATCCCGTACAGAATAAATGAACCAAAATGCATAAGCTGATTTGTTAGGGCAATCAATAATTCGTCCCCAAAATCCAAGAAAACAATTCCTCCCCAAAATCCAAAATACCTAAAATCACTAACATTTCGGAACTCGTAATAAGCACGAGAGAGAACGGAATAAGATAACAAGTTACAAATCCAATTAAAACAATTCGTCCCCAAATCTGAAATACCTAAAATGAGAAACATTCTGGAGCTCGTAATTTCAAATCGTCAACACACTGCCCATGCTACTCAATTACGATTCAAGAAAATCAAAATCAAAATCATGTATAAATTGAAACACAATAAACTAGAAATCAATTTCCGACCTGTGAGCTGTGTATTTAGATCTTCAACGGCTGATTATTCCAGAATTTCCCAATTCTTCTGGGTTTCCGATCAAGGAGAACGAAAACTGCGCACTCGTGAACAGAGATTTTGCGATTTAAGAAACGGAGATTTGCGATTGTTGAAAGAAATGAATTGGGGAAAAAAATGGATTTCTGTAGTGGAATTATATAACGGGGTTTTTGTGTTTGAAGCAGAAACAGTTTTTTTCCCTCCAAAATTGAAATTAAGAAAACAAAATGGGAGCATCTAGTCATCTAGACGCATCTGGTGGACGTTGTCATTTTGGGGTAAATTACAACCAAACCCCTGAAGTATGATCAAATTATGAAAAAACCTATCTTGTTTGCGTAATTTGAACCACCCTCAACTATAAATCTTCTTACACATCCACCCTTGCAGTGTCAAATTTAGTGGAATCTTCTAGATTATATGAAATATTCTCAATTTTCTACCCGTTTTATCCCATTCGAGCTCCACGTTTTGAAATAAGATGATCATAACATGTGTCTCTTGACTTGTACATATCAAATATAATTGTGGTGCGTCAGAAACTGCATTTTTGCACAAAACGAGTACAAACTATAGAGCATTCCAAGGAATCTAGAAGATTATGTTGAATTTGACACCGTAAGGACAGACGTGTAAGAAGATTCATAGTTAAAGGGAAATTGTAATTATCCAAACATGAGGGGGGTTTTTGTAATTTGACCATACCTCAGGGGTGAGTTGTAATTTACCCTTAAATTTGTACATTTTGTAAATCGTGACGTTTGATTCAATAATATTCGACGGACAATAACAATCATCTAAGGGGCCTAATCGTACTCCGGTTTTGAGGTAAAAATCTTATTCGTAAACTTTTTTGAAGAAAATTTAGCTGTTTAGTGTAGATCAACACGAAAAAATATTTGGAAATCTTATGTTTCGTTTTAAGTGGCACGAATATACTTGGTGTAACTCGTTCAATCAACACAAAATAGTAGTGTACCATTTTTTTTTTCTATTTGTATTGTTAGTTGTAATCCCTAGATTTAATGCGCTACTATTTAGAGGATTTGTTAGTCGTTGCATCTTAGAGAGAGTACTTGCTATAATTGAGAGCACTTGTAAGGGCAAATTTGCCTTGAGAAGAAATAACTGAGTTCTTGCATCTCCTACTTTTTTCCGTCTCAAATCTCAATTGAAATTTTGTCCAAATTTTCATTTCGAAATACATACCCGTATTCACAAAATATTTAGAAAAAAAAAATATAATTATCAGCACATTAAATAGTTCAATAACTTTTGACATATCCCAAATTATATTAAAGAAAAATATTCTAATAATTAAATTGCTAAGATTACGATAGAGTTGTACATCCACAATTTTATCCATTTTCCAGAGCTGAATGGTCATTTTTTTCTCCAATCACTATTACCAAACCGACAACCAAAGCTCTGTGAAGTAATACTCAGATCATATAATAATGTATTTTGGAGATCCACATCAGCAAATTTATTATGACGTGGACAACTCTTGTGGGCCCCACCAATTTGTTTGAATGAAAAATGAATGAATGGAGGCCAATTAACCTTGTCTTTCAGCCACCAATTCATCTTCTCCCCATTAAATGTAACAAATGTACATCACCATTATTCTTTATGAATACAATATTAATCGTACTATCTTAGCTAGATTGTGTTTTCTTGAATACTATATAAATAACAAACTAATTATTAATTCTTTTTTTTTTTCAAAAAACTTCGGAAAATGAGAAGCTAGAACTAAAAAATATATTCAAAAGTTCAAATTATTACGATACAAATCAACGATATTCGAAATTTTTGAATATGATTCTCTATGTATTTCAATATTTTTTCGTCACTTTAGAGAAATTTTTGTTATATATTATACATCACTTTAGAATTCCAATAATGCTTTGTACACTTAGCGCGATAGAGTAAAATATACAGCTCATGCTCTAAAGCTCCAAGATCTTTGCCAATTGTCAATTAACGCGGTTTTTGATGGTGATGAATTTTGTTTTTGTTATTTTTGTATGATGTGTTACTAGATAATCTATATTTTTGTGTGTTGTTCATGATGTTTTTATTGCACTTGTTGAGGTTTGATGCTTATCCTACAACTATGTAATAATGCAAGGCTTTTTACATGAGGGTATAAATGATTGTTTATGTCATCAAAAGGCACAACAAGCTCAATGCATAAATAGTATTTATGTGTATCAAATGCCAATCAAAATCAATACCTCAAAGGGTAAATTACAAACACCCCCTGAGGTATGGTCAAATTACAAAAAACCCCCTCTTGTTTGGATAATTACATCTACCCCCTTCAACTATGATTTTTTCTTACACCTCCACCCTTATGGTGCCAAATTCAACATAATCATCTAGATTCCGCGAAATGTGCTCTAGTTTGTACTCGTTTTGTGTAAAAATACAGTTTTCGATGCACCAAAAACTGATATATACAAGCTAAAAATCACATATTATGATCATCTTGCTTCATAATGTAGAGTTTGAATGAGATAAAACGGGTACAAAAGTGATAATATTCCATATAATCTCGAAGATTTCACTAAATTTGAGGAGTTGAGGGGTGGTTGTAATTATCCAAACAAGAGGGGTTGACCATACTTCAGGGGGGTGTTTGTAATTTACCCTACCTCAAATGATCAAATGTTATATGTATTCTTTTCTCTTCTTAAAATTCAACCATATTTAATAAATTTCTTAATATGTGTGAGAACAAACTTTAAACGTCAGATTTTATGAAACGGATGAAGTATAGGATAAATTACGCCTATCCTAGACGAATTGACGAATTCTACAAACCTCCCTTAAGGTTCAATTTATATAAAATAAAATCAATCCCAGCTCAATAAATAAAAAAATTACCCTTACGTTAACATTTATGTTATAGAAAAAATTACATTGACTTCCATATATTAAGTTACATTTAAACCCTATAACTTTAAAGAATTACACAAACATCCCTTCAAATTTATTTTGAGTCGAAATTCAACCTTATTTGATCATTGATTTGTTAGGAATTGATTATTATTAAAACAAATGAAGGACTAAATATTCTAAAATATGTGATTAAATTGAGAAAGAACTTCATTTTTTTAGATAATATATCGACTGACGACCCACCCCTGCACCATTTTGTCACAAGTTGATATGAATTGCGCGATGAAAGATTATTGTCGATCTGAGTTTCTCGTTAACAATGAAAATTGTCGAGATAAGAAAAATTGTTCAATCCAAAAAAGAGTTTGAAAAAAGTAAAATAATTGAAAATGACAAAATGTAGTTTGAAATTTAATAAAACTCATTTCGATGTGTGAATTCAAAAAATTCATTCCTGATTAGGCTAGAATTAGATCACCTTAAGTAATTGTGGAAGGAAGAGTTGGGAGAGCAAAGTGGATTGCTGACTCACGAGCTAGATGATCTGCGAACAGAGAACATGTGAACTAGACCAGTGATTGATCCGGTGGATACCTCTCCGACGCTCAAGTCAAACGTGCGGATAGTAGAATTGTAGAGAAAATATGAGCAGTTGAATTGTCTGAATTCTAGAACGTACATTAACAAACGAGTTAAAACATCAATCATTCATATTTATACCTCGTTGATTGAGTTGTAGATATTTTGTTGCGCCCAAACTTTATTTGAAGGTGTTTAAACTTTCGTAGTTGTCGTCTTTTAAATCGGACTCATGACCTGGTACGTAAATAAATCGTAGGCCTATTGGGTTGGTCCAACTAAGCAAATCAATTCCGATTCATTAAAAAATTTATATGAACCATATTAATGTTGAAGCAAAGGCCCATAAGCAAGTGGGACCCACATTCTTTTATATTATTATAAAATTTATATGTATGTACCTTCTTTTCCATATGCCTACTTAAGGGGGCAGCAGCTTTTAAATTTTGATGAAACACCCAAATCAAAACAAAAACCTCTTTGTCCAAACCAATACATATACTTCCACTTCCACACTTCTTTTCCTTTACTACAAGCACTTTTGTCTCAAAAATATCTCGTTAATTCCTACATACACATCTTCAAAACATTCTTACATAAATATATATACATACACTATACATACACTACTAGTAGTAAATTTCTTTCTTTCTGTAATTGCATCTGCATTTTACCAATGGAAACTGCAGACAACTTGAGCCTTCGAGTTGCTTCGTTTTCGTACTATCTCGATACGGCGAAAGATCACAGCTTACTACACAGATCAGTTTCTTCTCAAGAAACTACTACTAATCCAATATTAATGACCTCATCATCAAACCCTACTATGATCAAACCACCTTTTACCATCAAGTTTTCGAAACCGAAAGAAATTAGCCAGTTGGATCACACCGCAAGTAACAATCTCCGCACCGACTCATTTTCCTATCGGAACACGTCGGCGGACAACAAGAACTTCGTGTTTGAAAATCCGGGCCCGGTGAAAGATCCCACGTCATCGTTCGCATTCTCGCAGCCGAACAATAAAGACGGCGAGATCGGCGTTTTCGGCGCCGACAGGTACTTCAACATGAAGCTGGAGTACAAAACCGAGCCCGCTAAGAAGAATAATAATACCCGCGGGCCCGAAAACCCGGCCCGAGTTGGATCAAGCATTCCTGCGATCGGGCCGAGAACTCCGAGCCTGTCTTCCGAGGCGAGTAGCGCGTATAATTACCAAACAGCCCTTTTGCCAGCTGGCGTCGGCGGTCGTGATCTCCAGAGGTACGGATCTTCTGATCAGGCGGCGAAGCACAACAATAAGAGGGCAATTGGGAGGAGGATTTTCAACGGGTTCGGATGCAAAGGCCCGTGTTTCGACAAGAAATCCATCCACATCATCAACGAAGCGGTTCCGGACGGGCCGTCGTCGTTATACGGGCCGAAACCCGCTCGAAACGGGTCGGAAAGGATATCGATTCCCGCCATAAAGCCGGTCGATAAAAATCCGACAGCCAACATTAATAAGAATAATAGTACCATCAAAGTTGTTCAAGATGATTTGGATGAATTATCGAGAAACTCGATCGAAGTGTTCGGATCGAGCACGCAGAGCACAAAGGGAGAGGTAGCTACAAACATGGAGAGAAAGCTGTCCATGCTGACGTGGGATGCAATCCCCATTAACAACAAAGGACAACTATTAACACCACCTCCAGCTAAAAGTACTACCACTCTTGGCAGCAGCACTATTATATGCGATAATGCTGACATGGCGAGCGACGCCAGCTCAGATTTATTCGAGATCGAGAACATATCCGGATCGTCCGTTTTTCCGCTCGTCTTGACTTCCTCCTCGTCGGAGTTATTACCGAGAGAGGATCAAATGAGTCCGAGAATTTCTCATTATGCCCCTAGTGAGGCGAGTATTCAGTGGAGCGTAGTCACTGCCAGCGCAGCCGATTACTCGATTCTTTCCGACTATAATAATAATATTAATAATGATGACATGAGTGTGAGTGTTGCGGGCGATTTGGTGACGAGGGCGGTCAAGACGAAAGGCGGCGGTCAAGGGGGGAAATCGGAGGGGCAGAAGAGCCGGCCAGCTGGCGGGCTTTTGGGGTGCAAGAGCGATAAATCGGTGGATGTTGCGGAGAATGTATTATGCCATAAGGCGAATGAGAAGATCACGAAGAACGTGGTCCCGGATTCGAACGTGTCGTTTGGGAAGTCGGGTAGGGTTAAAGATATGGATCATGCCCTAAAGTCGCCGAGATCTTTACCGATGGTCATTTAGCGCGCGGTTCGATATGGTGATGCATTTTGTTGTTTCTTTTATGTTTTTTTAGTGTGTTGTTAATGATGTTTTGATTGTACTTAATTGTTGAGGTTTGATGCATGCTTATATATCCTACTACTATGTAATAATACAAGGCTTTTCATACATGTATGCATGATCTTTTATATATGGCATCAAAAGGCACAACAAGATGAATGCATAAATAGTGTATATCTATCTCAAATGTCAATCAAAACCCTAACAAGAATATGTTAGTTGATCTCCATATGAAGTATTACCGGCCATTCTTGTCTGAAAAAAAAAAATATTTACATGTTTGATATTGGGAAGTTATACGCAACTACACTGGGTTATTTACACCGGGTATTTATTAACCATAGACGAGGTTAAATAACCACCAACACTAATCATACATAAATATGGATGTGCGTGTGATTATGTGTAGATCTACCCATGTGCATGTATGCTTATTGGATGGTTATTTAACCAGCTTATCTACAATTGACAATCACCCAGTGTTAATAACCCGATGTAGCATAGAATTTATATATGTTTGATATTATATATGCACTAATGAATTATTTTGAGGGTGACCATCTTGTTGTGGTTATAGTAGTTTTCATTAGGCAGAAGATTCCTTTAGTTGGGGTCACTAGAACAACTATTTGCAAATAATGTTGCTTTTTTTTTGGCAAAGACAACATTACATATTGTTCAAGTAAGAACCAACAATTGTGTTTTTTTTCCCATGTTGCCTTGTATCTATGTCTGAGAAAGTTGAATATATTTTATGTACCATTATGCATGTAAGCGTTAGGTAGACGAACCCGAGTTTGCCGAATTTGGTGACCTCGAGCTCGAGGCTCTTTATTTTTATTTTTATTTTTAAATAAAAAAAAAAGAAAAAAAGCTTGTCGGTCAGGTCGTCTCATCCAGCTCATTAGTCGGCTTCAGTATCTAGCTTTAGGGTCGACATAGTTCTAACAATTTGGTTGTGCTTCTCTATAAAATATAGGTGGATTGATCAATTTATATGAATGTTCTATTATAACATTAATATATATTATATAGACTAATATATGTATTATATATATAAAGAGTTGGTTTGCACCATTGAATTTCCCAACTATATTGACAAGGAAATGAAAAGCATAATCACTCATCAAAATTTAATTACAAAAAATGGGACAATTTTTGTGGCCATTCTCAAATGAGATCTAAGTTCGTTATATTTAATTTGCAAAAGCTTATAAATAAAACATCTTTTCTATAGCTAAAGATATTATTCAATGGTGGGACCATGATTTGATATGAAAGTGGACTAAAAATTTGCAGAAATTATGAGACGACTCCCCCCAAATTCTTTTTCTTAACTATTCATTAAAAAAACACAAAATTACAAGTAGATGTTTGTAGGTTTGAATTAAATCAATATCAATTAAGACATATAATGTCCAAATATAATTATCGAATGCGAAATGTTAAATGTTGTTTCAATTTTACTACTATCGGTTTGACTTCAAATGTGATTTTGGCCGATTTATAATCTAATTTTTGCAATATTCAAAATCTGAAAACTATAGTTCTTTGAGTTAGTTTTCTAATACCAACTAACCTTTTGTTTGGTTGTACCAGAAACCTCTCCTGTAGTGGTCTTTGATGAGAGGTCGGGGATTCGAATCCCTTTGTGTGTGTGTGCGCATTAAAGGCTATATTATAAGGCCAATTTCAAAAAAAAAAAAAAAAAAAACAACTTGAATCAACTGGATTGGGTGTCGAATGGCAAAAATATGCACAGATGAGTTAAGTTTTGAATCTTAGATAACTCGAAATATTAGAGTTATGAGCATTGCTTATTGATTCATTCATATCTTTGTAATCCAACATCCAAATACTACTTTGGATCAGAAAGCTAACTCAAAGAACTACAAAAGTTCCAATAAATTCAGCCTCAAATACTTTCAAAATCATACTTGAAGTCAAAACGATATCATTAAAACAGAAACGACATTTATCAACTTCTATATTCTATATATGGATATAGTTTATCATCAAAAATATTAACTATTTTTCGATAGGCAAGGCAATTAAGGCATGAACATGACAAATATTCAGAAAATGGAATGTCTTTCCTTGAAGAGATAATTGATAGGTATTGGATTTTAATATTATTCTTCTTGTACTCATGGATATATATATTATAAGTAGATAAAAACTAAATAATAATAATAATAATAATTAATAGATGTATGTATAGTAGTTGTAATAAAATTAAATAAAGAGGTCCCTGAATGGGAATGTTTCTCAAGGGGACCAATTTATATAGGTTGGATATCAGTATCAAAGTCAAGTGTGTAGGTTTTCAAGGTATTACAAAATTCTTTGTGGTCCACTTTGGATTTAATTAATCAATCTTTATTCCAGCTCATCCGAATCATGTCTTGATCGATCATGTGCTAGTAATTAAATCTTTGCATTTAAATTTCTATAAATTAATAAAAATAAAATTTATTAGTTTTGCAAAAAAAAAAATGAAGAAATGATAAATTAATAATTAACTAGCATTTTTTCCCCGTGCAATGCACGGGATATTATCTCAAAAGTGAAAAAAAATAATCAATTTAATACATAATAATAAAATATAGTATACTGACATAGTAAAATTTTATAATGTAGTATTATTCATATTTTATATCACATAAGGGTTTTTAATTCTGACATATTAAAATTTATAATCCAAATATATAGATTAATAACGAACCAAATTTCTATCTTTATCTCTTAAGATTTGAGATATATTGATGAAAAATTAAGAGATTAATAATTGTTGAAAATTATAGTTAAAAAATTAGTAGACAAAATATAGTAAAAATAAATAATTACAAAAGTACCATTAGATAGGATTCTTCGGGATTTAGTTTCAATTTTGATAATTGTTAAAAGTTGTTAGAAATTATCAGAGAAAAAAAATTGAAAATATTTAATTACAGAAATACCATTAGGATTTTTTAGGGTTGCCCAACGTTTCTTTCTTTTATATATAAGATAATTACTATATTTTTTTTTTAAAATTAATTTGATAAACCGACCGTTTTAAATGGAATTTTTGTTACACCAACAAATAATACATTTAAGAAGGGGTTGAAGTATGTATGCTCAATGCATGTGGGCTTTTGGGAAAGATTTGGTTTCATTTGGAATTGGGCTTTGTTTTGAATAAATTCAATAACTTTCTTTTTCTTTTGATTAAATTAAAAAAAAAAAATCATTTAATTAGACTCATCATCCCAAGAGTTGTGGCCTCCCTCCACCCTACACTCACTGATAAATACCGGGTGAGTTTTCTGCTGCCAGATGTTTTTTTTTTCTAAAACTCCTAAAGGTAAACCCTAGCGGGGAATATATTATAAAATACAAAAAAGAATACGTGGCAACAGAAAACCCACCTGATATTTATCACCGGGTGTAGGATCGAAGAAGTCAGAGTTGTATACGTTGCACACAACTCCATCACATCTATAAAATGAGCTCTTGCTTTTAGCAAATCCATTCATTCTCATTCAAGCATTTTCATTGCATATTGCTCCGAAACTAAAATATTTGTTGTATTTTCGAGACAATTGTCATAAATTGAGAGTACTTGTACAAACAAAATTGTCTTATGGAGGAAAAATTGAGCTCTTGCCTCGATTACCATTATTACGTCCAATTTTTTTTATATAAAATACACATCCAAATAACAAATAACACTAGTACTGAAGCCCTGCAAGAGTGGTCCAGTCATTTTCTATATTTTTTAGGTTGAGCTAGTCACACATAGTTAGTGTAGTGTTGTTTTATCTTATCGATCGACGAGTTATTGGGCGATGCAATTTACGCAGAGTACTTCAAATGGTTTGCAGGTTCTCTAAAAAAAACCCTCACACATCAGATAAAATGATCATTTCATCTTCTTCAGTTTTGAAAATCTTAGCTCCTAGTACATAAAATACGTGACTTACATGATTTGACATCTATGATAAAAACAGTTTCGCAAAAATATAAACAAATAATATTCATTATCAAATTATTTTCTCAAAAATACTCATAAAAGAAAATGGAAATAGGTCTTATTAACATTTCCTCATTTACACTATTATAAAAATAAAATGTATTGTTATTTAAAATAATAAATACATGACAACTTTTAGTAAAAGGCAAGATATTTCTTTTTCAATATAATTGTTTAACTTCTCCACCCACTCATTTAATATCTCTCTAACTAATTACTCGATTTTGAACAAAAAATCATATCATTGAACTCTTATACTTAGACTTATTAAATGGGGTGTAGTCAGTGGCGGATCCAGCCATGGTCTAGGGTGTGCAGTTGCACACCCTTGATTTTGGATAAATTGGCGAAAAATATTGTTTGTTGAGGTGGTAACGGTATTGTTTGTTACTATTTGGTTCCAGGTTCGATTCCCCACCCTCTCAAAAACTGATTTTTTTTTTCAAATCTTAATATTTTCACCTTTTTTCTCTTTAAATATTTCCACAATTCGCCTAAAATTTATAAATTGTAAATTTTTGGTCCATTATTTTTATAAAGTGATATTTAAATTTTTTATTCTACAATTTCGAACCCCCTTGGCAAAAATCCTGGATTCGCCACTGGGTGTAGTCCCCTTGGCAAAAATCCTGGATTCGCCACTGGGTGTAGTTGAAATTCGAATATTAAATTTTTTGATCAAATTTTTTTTTTTTTTTTTTTTTTTTTTGAATATTAAATTTGATTTACTAACTTTTACTTTTGGAAATGAGTTAGGGTTCTTTTGTCAAGTGCCAAAAAGATAGATGACTAACTATCGTTGGACAAGACACTCCTATTTATCACCACCAAATTAGATGAATGGGTATCTCAAAAAAAAAAAAAAAATAAATAAATTAAAATAAAATAAAATTACACATGATGTGTGCATTGAAAAATATACCGAATTTAACAGATTCTTATTGAAATCGTAAATCCAACCACAACTTTTTATTACAACAATAATTTATACCATCTAAATTTCTCTTATTAAAAGTGGATTATTTAATTAAATAGCATTGTAAAAACAAAAATATTAGACGAGTTGCCTATTTGACCTAGTTCGTGAAGTCAAATGTTTCGAGTTCTAATTTCATTGTCGATATTTTCTAAATCAAGTTTGTCACGCACGCATATCTTATGACTAGTATATTTTATATTTCTCGGGTGATTTGCAAGTTATTATATAAAAAAGTATAACTAGGGGAGTTAGTATTTATATAATTTTACTACATTTGCATTTCATCTTTTGTTTTGTCCATGTAACAAATTGGTGTTTGTTACATTTAAAAAAAAATCCAAAATAATTTCAAAATTTTATTTTTCTTCTAAACGTGATTTAACTATTCAAACAAAAAAAATTGAGCTGCTACAATAAAATATGCTTTCAAAAAAAAAAAAGCTAGCATCACTTTAATCCTGAAAATTTTCTTTTAAAATACATTTTTTCATTTCAAAATATAAATAAACATTACTTTTATTTTCAAATTATTCTCCTCAAAATATATTTCCTCAAAATAAAATAAAAATAACTTCCGAAAACGAATCCAAACATTGCCACTGTACCAAAAACAAATGGGGTTTTATGTAAGGCTGCGGGTATATGCAAGACTAATTCCACTTGTGTAAGACCAAATTAAAATTTTCAATGTATAAATACTATACCCTTACTTATTAAAAAAAAAAATTCCAAATGTGCAAGGCAAAAAATTCAAAAACACAAAAAACCCTATCACAAGACCACAAAATCACAAGACCAACTCTCATCTTCTCCATCTTCCAAAAATCACAAGACATTTCTCCTTCCTCCTCCATAAACCCACAAAACCTAAACATTCAAAATCATCAAAACTCAACAAATCTTATAAAGATGGCAAGTATGGAGTCAGAAGACATCAAAATAGAAGATTCTACGGTGAAAGAACCCAAGAAGCTATGCATTTATGAGTTTTTTTTAGCTAGAATATCGTTTTTCCAAAAAAAATCCCGCGCAAACGAATTCGACATGTACAGGTCGAATTTTATAGGTAAAAATCGACATTTAGATGTCGATTTTGAGGTATAAAATTCGCCATTTGGCAATGTCGAATTTGTGCTATAAATTCGACATGTCACTGTCGATTTTTACCTATAAAATTCGACGCTTAAGTGTCGATTTGTAGCATAGTTTTTCGACACCTTGGTGTCGATTTATACCAGTTTCAAATTTAATTTGTTTTTCTTCTTTTTTTGTGCAGATTTAGGTCACTCATGATTGTGAGCGGCGGGGCTGGCGGCGGCGGCGATCGGCGGTGAAGCTTGGGCGGCGGAGAAGGTGGGCGTAGGTAGGGTTTCAGGAGGGGGTTTGTTTGTTTTTTTAATTCACGCTTCTATGTTTTCTTTTTTTGTTTTTTTTCCTCATTATTTGTATTTGGTCTTGCATGAGAGAAAAAAAATTTAATTTATGGATATATTTATCATTTCATCTTAATAAAATAGAATCTTTTGGAATCTTTTTTTAATTTGGTCTTGCACAAGTGGAATGAGTATTGCATTTAATTGAACATTCTTCTTCACAACCATGAAATGTCGAAATTGCCCACATTTTTCATCATTATTACATACTACCCCATGACTTTCTATTTGTACCACGATTTCTGCAATCTCAGCCCTTTATTTAAAGAATACGCACAACTTTCTCTCCCGAGGGTTTTATTTAGGGTTTAAGCAAAGTCTCTCTCTCTCTCTAAAATCAGACGAACCCCACAAAAAGCCTCTCTTCTTTTTTCGCTTTCCTGCAAATCCTAGGGTTTTCGGACAGAGAAAATGGTGGCAGACAAAGGGAAGAAGCAGAAAACCGGAGAGGCCGAGGAAGAGAGAAACGGCGCCGACCACGTCGACGGCGACCTCGTTCTCTCGATCGAGAAGCTTCAGGAAATTCAGGATGAACTTGAAAAGGTAAACCCACCTTCTTCTGTTCATTATTTTTGCTAAAGAATAGGAAATTTTGGGGAAAGATCCGCTATTTATTTTTGTTTTATGATTTTTTTCCGGGATTTTTAACCCAGAAAATTGTTTTTGTGATTTCTGTGAGAACATTTAGCAGTGATCTTTATTTGATTAGCTTGGGTAGGAGATGATTTATGTGGTTAATTTTGTAAGAGAATTATGATTTTCTGGTTTATGTGTATCTTCTGTTTATGTTTATCTTCTGTTTATTTGTTCACATTTCAGTGGTGTTGCCGAATTGCCCACGAATTTTCCGTAATCTGTTTGTCGAAAAAAATGATTAATATATGCAGGACAACATTTATTTCTTGATGACCTTGTGTTACAGAGTGATCTTAGCAATTAAAATTGAAACTTTTGTGAAGAAACACCTCTTTGTCATGATCAATATCTTCAAATTGGCTGGGTGTAGTAAGTCACTTGGAGAAGAAAAAACTCGTATCTTTATCGATCTCTGTTTGTTTGTCAGAAATTGAATTATTTGGTTTAAAGAATCTGTCTTATTATTTATGTATGGCTTTGGATTTATTGTTGTCATTTAGGTGTTTTGACTTCCCTGTTCTATGTAAAATCAAAATTGCAGTGAATTAGTTCATTTGTCTATTCCCGAGTGGATTAAATGTTAAGCGATGAAGTAATTAGCACCAGAACAACAAGTTGATTTTTTTTTTTCTTCCCTGTGTTTTCAGATCAATGAAGAAGCAAGTGAAAAAGTCTTGGAAGTGGAACAAAAATACAATGAGGTACGCAAGCCAGCCTATGATAGGCGAAACGAAGTCATCAAATCAATTCCCGACTTCTGGTTGACTGCGGTTAGTAATTTTTTTAAATTTTTTATTATCTTATTTTTGTTCAAAGAAAAAGATATACCTAGTAATTTATATCCTTCCACCTTAAAATGTATATCTGTTCTTGCAGTTTATGAGTCATCCTGCCCTCAGCGAACTTTTGACTGAAGAAGACCAAAAGGTTGTTCTCTTTTCTCCCTTAAGGTTCCTTTCGAATATAAAAACGATGAAAAGTTATTTTTTCGCTTATTTTGAACATTTGAGATGTTTTAGTTACAATGTTAAAGGGGGTTTTCCTTTGTCTCGTGTGTTAGATCTTCAAGTATTTGAGTAACCTCGAGGTGGAGGATTGCAAAGATGTGAAATCTGGTTACTCCATCACATTTGTGAGTCTTCGTTTTTTGTCCCTGCTTTTTGGGTTGATACCAATATCGTAATATTTTAAGTTGTTGGGATGATTTTTTATTTAATTTTTTTTTTTTGTGTTTGGTTCAGCACTTCAAGCCAAATCCTTTCTTTGAAGATGCTAAGCTCACAAAGACCTTTGCCTTCCTCGAGGAAGGAACAACGAAAATCACAGCAACATCGATTAAGTGGAAAGAAGGCATGGTAAACTTCCTAATTCCTAGTTTAATTTGGAAGAACTTATATACAAATAATAAATATTGAATAAATATATAAATAAACATTTCAGTTTCCTGTTCGTCTAATCTATTGTCCTTGTTTGGGATTTGAAGGGAATTCCTAATGGGGTTGTTGAAGAGAAGAAAGGAAACAAAAGAACTCATGCTGAGGAAAGGTTGGTTCCCTCTTCCTCTATCTCGTGTTATTTTTCTTACATAATAGATTTGAATTATTCTTGTATTATTGACCGTCTATGGCGATAAGCATCTTCATATGCTTTGTTTCTTGTCAGAAACTATCAGTCTAGTAATTGGCTGTATATTTGAACCGGCTAATATATACACACAGATATTTCGATTAGAATGTAATGCAAAATCTTATTTAGCTGAAATATGTGTCTATTTTAGTGATTCACATCAGTAAGGCATGTAAATTTCCTTTGAGATTTGACTTCGTAAAATATCGTCTCCCGATTTTGACTGTGACATTGTAATGCAGCTTCTTTTCGTGGTTTAATGACTCCCTGCACAATGGTGATTTGGATGAGATTCAAGATGAGGTACACATTCTCTCGCTTAATCAAATTACTAAGGGGTGTTTGCATAAACTTTCGAAAATTAATTATGATTTTTTTTTTTCCGGCGTATAATTAGTTTTGAATTGTTTGCGAAACTAATTTCTGCGTTTGCTTCTCTTAGAATAAGTTGTTTTAATTTCAAGAAAGCATGTACGAGGTTGCTTTTTTAATTTAAAAGCACTTCAACAAATAAAGTTGTTTTTTTAAGGATTTGCAAGCACCACTAACTTTTAGAAATAAGTGTTTATTTTTTAAATTTACTCACAAACACCATCTTCTACTTCATTCAAAAGCTTTTGCAAACACCCCGTAATTGAGTTTGATCCTTTTTTCTTTACTATTAACACACTGTTATGTATTTTCGACCGTTATTTTCTGTAGCAGGTAGCTGAAATAATCAAGGATGATTTGTGGCCTAATCCCCTCACATATTTTAACAATGTACGTCTCTCTCTCTCTCTCTCTCTCTCTCTCTCTCTCTCTCTCTCTCTCTCTCTCTCTCTCTCTCTCTCTCTCTCGCTATATATAAATATATATGTATGTATATATCTAAACTGTCGTGAATTATTTATTACCTTTGTTTAGGATGCCGATGAAGAGGAATTTGAAATGGATGATGATGATGACGAGGTACATAAGATCACTGACCTTAATATTTACTGACTCATCACTTTTGCTTTTGAAGTTAATATTTTGGATGGTTTATATATTTATTTTCCATTGGCCATGTTTGATTTATTTCGATATCTTTTGTGCAGGATGGCTCTGAAGATGACGAGGATCAAGAAGATGACGAAGATGATGATGTCGAAGATTAATTACTCCGACGTTTTTTCCTTCTAGAAAGTTCCATATTATAGTTTCCTAAGAGGAGAAAGAGAGAGTTTGGAAATTGTTGACTTTAGTTTAAAACCCCTAATTCCCCATCTCTCTGCACTTAATTTCTCTTCCTTAAGCCCAATATTTAATTTCTTTTATTTTTCATGTTTTTTTTTTTTCTTTTTTCTCTTTTTTTTTTCTTCTGATTTTGCTGTGAGACTTTGGAAATATAGGTTAACTTACATACTAGTTAGGGCTGGGTTTGGTTCGGTAATATTATATTTACTGTATTTTCGGTGTGACGAATTTATTACCAATGCCCTACCAAAATTTGGAACCGTTTTTGTTTGGCGATGATTATTGTTAAAAGATTTTCACAATTTATTTGGCAAAATACGAACATCTTGCTAGCGAATTGTCAACAAATTGGGTAAATTAGTCACCCTTTAATTATGAATTTTCTCACACGTGTATTCTTATGGTGTTAAATTTAGTGGAATCTTTAAGAGAATATAAAATATCTAGTTTGTATCGGTTTTATTCCATTTGAGTTTCACATTTTGAAATAAGATAATCATAAAATGTATCTTTTGATTTTCTTAAAAAAATAAGATAATCATAAGATGTATCTCTTGATTTTCTTAAAAAAAGAAAAAAAATGTGTCTCACCTTTAAATATCAAATTGTGGTGTACTAAAAACTGTATTTTTGTAATTAACCAAACAAAAGTCGTTTTTTTTTCGTATTTTAACCTTAACTTGGGTGTTAGCCGTAGTTTACCCTAACAAATTTGAACAATTACTTTTATTCATTGGAGTGTAGATTATCTTTCTCACTTCCACCGGGCGGCAAAGATGCAGCTGCGCATTGGACATAATTCTAAACACCTCTCTACATGGTTACCCCCAACTCAAGGTATAATTAAGATCAATTTCGACACATCTTTCCAAGTTGACAGAGACTTCTTCATTGCATCTATGGTCGCAAGAGATTGGCGAGAGCAATGCTCATATGGTGGTGTGTTGAAAGATTTTTAGATCGGCTGAAACCAGTCGATGGGGAAGCCAAAACTGCTCTACAAGCTATTTGGAAGGCTAGAGAAGTGGGTTGAAATTCCACTGTGATAGAGGGAGACAATCTACGAATTATCGAGACTTTGAAGGAAGGAGAATTTACCTCAGCATCTTACGGCGCTCTTATTGAAGATTGCCTGGACATTGCTCGTTCTTTTGATTATATCTCTTTTGCTTTTATTAAACGCTGTGGCAACAGCCTAGCCAAATGCTATTGCTAAGTTTCACGATTTTTCTTGTACCGAAGGGTTCCACCCCTTCCTCCATGCTTGGCTGGCTGCTCATGCCTAATAAATTTTTGTTTTCTCTCTCAAAAAAAAAATATATTTCTAATATTATTTTAAATTTTTTTACGAGTACTATATGAGCTTAAGATAATTGTTTCTAAATGATTTATTATAATGTATTTTACATAACATGATAATATAATATATGAAACTGTTTAGCAGAACTGAGAAAATGAACATGTTAATAAGAGATTTAATGGACTAAGAAAAGAAAAGAGAAGATAAAAATAATAATAAAAAGGTAACTCGTTAAATATTTTTCTCCTAAAATCAAAATTATTTAATAGTGTTTTTAGTTTAATTAATAATTAGGGTAAATTACAAACACCCCCCTGAGGTATGACCAAATTACAAAAACACCCCTCTTGTTTGGATAATTACAACCACCCCCCTCAACTCATCAAATTTAGTGGAATCTTCGAGATTATATGGAATATTATCACTTTTGTACCCGTTTTATCCCATTCAAACTCTACATTATGAAGCAAGATGACCATAATATGTGATTTTTAGCTTGTATATATCAGTTTGTGATGCATCGAAAACTGTATTTTTTACACAAAAAGAGTACAAACTAGAGCACATTTCACGGAATCTAGATGACTATGTTGAATTTGGCACCATAAAGGTACGAAAAAATCATAGTTGAGGGGGGTAGATGTAATTATCCAAAGGAGAGGGGTTTTTTTGTAATTTCACCATACCTCAGGGGGGTGTTTGTAATTTACCCTAATAATTAATATACATCTACAAATTAAAACAAAACCAGGGGTATTTGAAAAAAGATGCCCTTTATTATTTTCTCTTTCCTTTAATTTCCTTTTCCGTCAGCCTCCTCCCTCCGCCGCCCGCCGCCACTTTCTTCTCTTCTCCGTTCGCGCCTTAACGCCGCCGGCCCACCACCCTCTCTCATTACCTCAGCTTCGACGCGCCGCCGATTTTTTTCCTCTCCGCCACGCCGAGGACCACTTTTCCTCCTTAGAAGCCGCGCCACTGTCATCATCTCCTTGCTCGCTCTCCCTCGGTCGCCATCGTCGATTTTTTGTTTTCTTCTTTCTCTCTCTATCTCTCTCTCTCTCTCCAATGGATAATTTTGAAGAAGTAGTAAAGAAGGAATGGAACATGAAAGATTTAAAAGCCCTAACTTCTCAAATTAAGGCGCACGAGTCTACCCTTAATCTCAAACGCAGGTAAATTCGCCTTTTTCAAACTTAATCTTCTACTCTTCCTTGATTATTATATTGTTAATTTCTGTACAGAAATATTAAAAAATAATTTTGCAGGTGGTTGATGGATTTAGCCTTGTCCCCAGTTGAACAGAAGCGGCTAGAGGATATACTTCCTGCCAATGATAAGTACGTACATGTTTTTTTTTTTGTTCTCTCTTCCCAAAATGACAATTTCACTAAAATGCAGGTGAATTATTTGATTTGTATGGGTAGTGCCTAGGGGTGTAAATCGGACTGATCGGATTTGGGTGTTTCGGAAAAGTTCCGATTTTTTTTTTTTTTTCGGAACTTTAAAATGCCTTCCGATTCCGAGTCAGAAAGTTTCGGAATCTAAAAACTCATTCCGTTTCCGAAAATAATTCCGGGCAATTTTTGGGAGGTTTCCAGATTTTTCTTTTTTGTGGAAATTCCAGAATTTGGGGATACGGAAAAAAAAAATTGTAAGCCAAAATTGCAAAACAAACAAAGATTCAAAGAAAAGATTTTCAAAACATCTTCGTAAATTTTCAAAAATCAAGAATCCAATGAGAGTGAATTTCCGATTTCCGCCGGTTCCGATCGGTAGATTTCCGATTTTGGAACGATTTTTTGTAGTCCGAATACTGAGTTAGTTCTTTTGCTGCTTAAGTGCAAAGCTACATAGCGAAGTATATATGTATTAACATATGCATACGTTTATAATATTTCATGAAAATTAGTTAATTCTGCAGTTTTTTAGTGAACTTCATTGAACTGCTGTCTACAAGTCAAGATTTCGTGCTCTAAATAACGTTCGCCTGTGGTGATGTGCTCTATTATATGCTTTATTCTCGCACTAGCACTTAAATGAAATAAATGTTTTTCGAGTTTGTTTGATGTGCTTTACACTTGGTGTGCCTAATGAATTATTCGATATCTCTTGATACATTTTCCCCTTAGTGAAAAATAGATGCAATGTTTTGCTTACTTCTCCTTTTGTATTTGCAGGATATTGCCCGAGTCGTTACTTCGGGAAGATGATGTGAGTACTCTCACTATTGCCAAACTGTATTGCTTTATCGTATATTGAGGAATTGTAACTTTATATTTATACACTCTTCATTGATAACAGTTGAGCTATGAGGACATGAAAACATGCATCGAAAAGGGATTTGGAGCTCATAACAACGGAAACGAAGCCCATTTTATTCAAAAGGATGTGCGAGTATCTAATCCGCCCGATGGTTTTCGACATATATTCTCCCAGCTGGAGAATATGACCAATAAAGACTTATGTTCCATTGTCGAGATACTCACGGGGGGGTTTACTAAATTCGAGAAAACACGTTCGAGTATGAAGAGGACTATCAAAGAGTTGCTTCCAAAAGTTATTTCCGACAAGAGTGATATTTCCAGAGCAAAACTGGAACGGCTTCTGCAAGTGGTAGAAAACTCGAAAACTTGTTGCGGGAATAACCGAATGGTGGATTCGAATTCTTACGAAGCCTATAATGCAGCTGCAGTGAAGGTACTCGATGGACTTGAGGACTTCCCTTCTGACGCACTTAAAGCAATGCACAGAAAGCTGAAAGGTGTTAAGGGGTATATTCCGTCTATTAAACCGTCGAAATCTGGATGGGTACGTGGTAAAATAATTAATACGATGAGGAGAAAATGCATGGAGATGCTTGCTAACCCTAGTGAAACGGGCGGGCCTTCGGAAAAATTGGCTAAGGCATTGGGAGTTGCGAGCTTAACACTGAAGTCGATAATGAACATTCCTGCTGTAATGGACTTGAAGGTTTTCCACCGGAAATCACAGCGTTACAAAATGATATCGCGAAAGCTATTCAC